AATTTCATCAATCTAGCTGTAACGGTACTCAAGTTATCGTGTTTACACACGGACAGACAGACAGACACACAGACATACGGACAGAATTGCAAAGCCCAGTATTTTAGACTGGATTACGGATAAAACCCCTTAATTTTGATAAATCTGGATTGATAATTTTTGCCCGATTAAAATAAGTCCTCTATACTTCGGATGTGATGAAGGACTGAGGTGTAATACGGTGAAAATTGTTAAAATTTCAAGTGATTTTTGTGCACGATTACAATACTTTCTCTATACTTCGTATATACGAGAAAGTAAAAAGTTTGTCTCTTCCTACATATAGTAAAGGTATCCCATAGATAATATAGTAACCCACGGTATTTCACAAAACCAAATTTTGAAAATTAAAAAAAAAACATTTCTAGTGTTTTCTGTTACAAAAACTAACTTCACAACAAGACCTGAGCATCTGATTGTGCACCTGATTTGTGCACCTGACGTGTGCACCTGACGTGTGCACCTGACGTGTGCACCTGATTTGTGCACCTGACTTGTGCACCTGACTTGTGCACCTGACGTGTGCACCTGACTTGTGCATCTGATTTGCGCACCTGACTTGTGCACCTGACTGTGCACATGGCTTGTGCACCTGATTTGTGCACCTGATTTGTGCACCTGATTTGTGCACCTGACTGTGCACCTGACTTGTGCACCTGATTTGTGCACCTGACTTGTGCACCCAGCTCACCTGATGAGATCTAAGAAGGTGTCTGCCGCCTCCACCCTGTCGACGGTGGGTCCGACCTTGGTGGGCGTGTCCCCCCTGTGGCCGGGCCTGATGGCTATAACCAGCACGATGCCCAGCACCACGGCTAGGAGGGTTGTCGTCAGGTAGTACAAGATGGCGCGTGCCCCGAGTTTACCTTTAAAAAAAGTAGGACAATTATTAGATCGTAATTAATTGTATACACTTTTTGTATTACTTTCACTAAGTAGGTGTGTGTGTGTGTTTGTATGTGTATGAGTGTGTGTGTTTGTTTAGCTCCCATTGCCTGAGAGGTCTTGGATAACAAATTTTAATGTAATTAGATCGACAATTAGCCATTTACATTTAATTTAAAAATTACTATTTTCAATACTAACAACGGAGATGACAAGATTTAAAAAATACAAAAAATAAAACAAAATTCTATATTCTTTCATGCAAGATCTAGATCTACCACTGTGCCAAACTTCAGCTCAGTTGGCCAATGGAAAGTGGGTTGAATTTAGATTCCAAGCTAAATAAAAGCTTTAATTATTCACACAGTAACAAAAGGCTTTATCGTTATTCACAAATCAAAGCAACAAAAAAAAATTACAAATTTAAAAATGCTCTAAAAAGTAAATAATAAATTCAGTTAGGTGTACCCTTACTAAAGCTATAAGCTTGTACGACTCAACAAAAACCTGAGCATTCAATGATGAAAAATGAATGTACTTCTTATATTCATTACCATGTTACACAACGTTTACCTTTCAATGGGCGCTCAGGCCGTTTTAGGCATACCAGCACATAGATTTAGTAAGATTACACCCAACTAAATTTATTATTTTATTTTAGCGCACTTTTAATTGAGTGCTGCGTTTGTGATTTGTGAATGTAATAAAAGCCTTTTTTTCATGTGAGAACTATTCTTAGTTGAGGCAAGTCTTTCGTCAAACGTTTACACTCAAGTCATTTGGACACCAAATATCTGAAATGGACACATGAAAGATGTGACGTCACCTGATGAGCGCGTGTCGAGTGAGGTGAGGCCGCTGATGAGTGACGTCACAATGAGAGGCAGGATGAGCAGCTGGAGCATGTTCATGAGCAGCTCGCCGGGAAACTTGAGGTACATCTGCTGCCGCTTGTCAAGGGCTGGCTCCAGGGAACGCAGTCCCGCCCCCAAACCCACCCCCACACCCAGGCTGGCGATAAGCAAGAGCACCAGCAAGTTCGCACGGGCCAAACCGATGCATCGTTTGCAGCGCGATACCTCGACATTTTCCGCTTGACATTTCTCTTCGTCTTCGTCAGTTTCCGTGTGAAAGGCCACAGATCCATAGCCTGGTGAATCGTTGGTCTTGATTTGGGCTGAATCCATTGGAATCTAAGTTGAAAATGTATGACATGATTATTTAACCAGAAATAAAGCGGGAGTGATCTCTCCTATATGTAAATATAACAATAAGGGTTGCGAAATCACGTCCAACACAATCTGGCTAAAGATATATAGAAATGTGTGCCTAAATCACATAGAGATTCAACTTCGTTGGAATAAGTTTTATGAGAATATGTTATACAATTATCAATTCTTTAGGTTTTTTGGAAATCACAAAATGAGCGAAATACCCCTTTATATAGCGCTAATTTTGCGCTCTCACACTTTGATTAAATAGAATAGAATCGCGTAGATAATAGCGAACCAAAAGTGACATCAAATTATAACATTATTGCTTTCTTTAGACTTCGGAAATTTAGCGTAAACAACTACTTCCGGTCACTGGAAATAATCCACAATTTAAAGAAATCAAGAGAATAAGATCTTCTACAGATGTATGAAATGTCGTCCACCACCTGAAGCCGTTCTTCTGTTATCGGTATTTTTTATAACTTGAGTACCGTTATAGCTAGGTTGATGAAATTTCATATATAAGTATTATATAAAAATTGTAGATCCTTTTCAACTTTTCAGCGATTTCCGATAACCGGAAGTGGAACTTTTTCTAGTTTGAATTTTTCAAAAGCCTATAACTGGAGTACTTTTTTAGATAGATAAATGAAAATTTGACATACAAGTAAAAGATATTTTAATAATGAAATAACACACGGGAACAACTACGTTTGTCTTCGTTAAAAAATACGCTATGATAAAATAAAACTGCTGTTACCAGATCAAACTAATCAAGTCTTAATGTTCATGTGCTATTGATGGAACAGAACACATTCAACTGTAAATATTGGTAATGCTCAATCTATCACTGTAATACAAACTGGGATGCACACCATGAGTCCAGGGACAATGGGCAGGATTCAGGGCACTTTTTTCTCAAGTCATGTGGAATGATTCATTCTTTGTTGAAATAGAAGCATGTCGAACAGGCAAGGTATTAACTATTGCATTCAAATTATAGCAAACCAAAATGGCTACCTGTTTGCTAATATTAAAACTGAAACAAAATAACCTGCTCACAGTTAAACATTGAGCCACTTAATTCAAGACTATCGTACCTCGATTAACGAACGCCCCAACTTCTACTTTAGGCAATCACTTTTATTTTATTTTTACTTTCTCGTATATACGAAGTATAGAGAAAGTCTTGTCATCATGCAAAAAAATTGAGATTTTTACAAATCTCGACGTTTTACACCTCACTGATACGGAAAAACATAATTTTGCAATCTTGTCCGTATGTCTGTGTGTCTGTGTATGTGTCTGTGTGTAAACACGATAACTTGAGTACCGTTATAGCTAGGTTGATGAAATTTCATATATAAGTATTTTATCAACATTGTAGATCTGTATAAACTTTTGAGCGATTTCCGATAACCAGAAGAGGTACTTTTTCTACTTTGAATTTTTCAAAAGCCTATAACTTGAGTACTATTTCAGATAGATAAATGAAATTTCACATGTACGTAAAAGCTCTAATTCTCTACCTTCTGTCAAATTTTGAGTAATTTCCGTTGACCGGAAGTACTAATTTACGCTATTTCCGATTTCTAAAAAAAACGCATGTAAATTTATAAAGTACTAATAATATTGCGCACTATTATGCACATTTCATTGGCGTTCACTTGGTGTGCAATCCTTTTTTCTACGAGATTTTATTCTATTTTAAAAACTTTAAGTATTTAAAATGGAGTTACCATCCCCTGTTGTTTTATATAAGAATATTCGAGAAAGCTTAGGGGAGATCACTCCCGGTTTATTTTAATGTGTTTCCATAGCCTTTGCCCAACCAAGAACAAACTACAGCAAATGTTTGATTTTGGAGTTGTCTCTCCTAGAAGAGTGGCTATCCCCAGCTAACGCGCCTCATCTGCCCGAGGATTTGAACTCGAGACATTTCAGTTAAGCATCCACGAGCTTTACCGACTCGACCACGCCGATCCCCTAACATCTAACCAATATGTACTCATTTTTATCATGATTATATGTTGTCCCCACCCACTACCACGACACACACACTGACAAAGCACAGGCGAGATCCATCCGCTACGTCAGTAGCACTAAATATATGACTGTTTAGTTTAGGCTTGTAGAAGTTTCCGACCTCTGCCCCGCGATCTAGCCGGGTACCAGACGGTAAGACGATGTCCTGCGTCTGGTGGTGGGGGAAGTAAAGCCTGGATAGAGCCTACAGATGGATAAGCGACCATCATGTAGTGTTTCAAACCAACATCTTCGTGAGACTGATTCAGTCCAAAATGTGCCATTTAGTTGGAGTTCACTACGTCGAGACCTCCCTGGCTAATGGGAGTCAAACTCCTGAGCCTGTATATCCGTGTCACGATAGTTATTGAACTGTAATTCAAGTTTTTATATTGGGCATGGGAAAGCTGGAAATGCAGACTAACCTTGAACAAACGTAAATATTCATGAGAATATTATAATGTCGTTACAGAGCAGACGATAAAGACTGGTGGCACTTGTTTGATTATAGACTCAAAAAGAAAACAAAGAATATCAAACCACATTATGTAGGAAATTATCAATAACATACGGAGGTTAAACTAGGCCCAACTAAAACAGTAAGAACGGTAAAAGCGTACAAAACAACAGACCCCCACCTCCATCCTCTTAGGTGTCATTCATTTATGAGGCCCACAAAAAGTTGGATTTCCACAGGCGTCCATTTAAAGAACGTCATCCCTGGCCTGTAAACCCGATATTAACGTTCACTAAAAGTAAAGGCCTATAAATGTTTTTAAAAGTTTAAATCATACAGTATTCACACCAGATGCATGTCATTTATGTGTCAGAATTCGACCGCTGTTTTTGTTTTTAACTCTAAAATCAACCCAATTTATTGTTATAAGCAAACGCTGTCTGGGCTGGTATTTATACTAAAGTGTGTGCTCGAGTTTGATATTTTGATAAAAAATTGAAATAAATTTGTCATTCAGATATTAAAACATTGGCTTTTACTTTTATAGTAAAACAAAAAACCCAAAGTTTTCACTTTAAAGGGAAATTTATTATGATTGAAAAAGGAAATTTGGGGGCCCCTAAAAATCGGGGGCCCCTGGTTGCAGCCCCCTCAGCACCCCCCTTAATCCGCCACTGCTAATAAGTCACTGAAGTCAGATGAAAAAGTGAACGATGCTCATGAAGTCAGTGATTTCAAACCCTCTACCAGCAAACTATCAACATCTAAGCAGGCTACAGTCCAGATAAACTTACAATCAGAGATTGAGATTCTGAATTCTGATCTAGTCGGCTTGTATGAGCGACAAACTCGCAGAATGTTAACGCAAGAACAGAACATGGAGCTTAAAGAAAAGAAACAGAAAAAGAGTGATTTGGAAAAAAAAAGCTAAAGAGGAAGATATCTGATCAAATAAGATCTAAGAAAGCTCGAAATGAAAAGAAAACTGAATGCTTTGTTTGAAGAGAATCCGGGGCTACGTGCCACTTTTAATGTTAGATCTAATCCTGGCAGGCCAAGGATTGAAGAAGATCAATCTTCTTTATTGGAAACTATCATAAACATTGCTATGCATGGATCGGCATCACACGAGAGGAGGCAGAACAAAGTCTACAGGACTATTAAAACATTAGATCAGCTAAATGATCAGTTAAAACAGGATGGGTTTATAATTAGTAGAAGTGGGCTATACCTTCGGCTGTTGCCAAGACGTACTTCTTCTCATGAAGGGCAACGACATGTATCGACAGTCCCAGTAAAACTGATAAGAGCGCTAAAACGATTGCCATGCAAATCACATAGATAGCTTGTTTTCAACAGCAACAATGCATCACCTAGAAGAGTTAGCGTCCATGCTTGGACCGAATGAGGTAAGCTTTATAAGCCAAGATGATAAGGCCGGCGTTCCGCTTGGGTTGACAGCAGCTAAAAAACAGAGTCCATTGCTCATGCACATGGAATACAGGGTGAGCTTGCCTGACCATGACTGGGTTGTGGCTGCTGGACATAAGCTGATCCCTTCAGTTTATGCCGGGATAAAAATTCAGCCCAACGCCTTGGGAAATCGAGAAGCTGTTGGATACTCCGGCCCAACATACATATCAATCAGATCTGGTAAACATTCCTCATCCACGGCACTTAGTCATGGACTTGATTTTGAAAAATTACTTACTTTACACGAATTTGATGATATCACAAAGAGCGGTGTGGATCAAATTGTTAAACCAATAGTAGTGTTGACGGTTGATGGTGGCCCAGACGAAAACCCTAGGTATCAAAAGTGATCAAAGTTGCGGTACACCACTTTCTCAATCAGAACTATGATGGTTTGTACATTGCTACCAATGCACCAGGAAGAAGTTGAAAGAAAAATGGCGCCACTTAGCAATGAGCTCACAGGATTAGTTTTACCCCATGACCACTACGGCAGTCATTTGGATGAAAGATGAGTCACAATAGACACAGATTTAGAGAAGAAGAATTTTCAGTTTGCCGGAAACACTTTGGTCATACTTGACAGTGGATACATTTCCTACAGTAGCATCATACATAGATCCAGAAGATTCTGGACTCCTTGAGACTTCTCTGCTCTCAAAGGATCAGGTTGGCACGATATTCATGTGAGAACTAGCCAGTATTTGACTCAGATCGTTAAATGCATGGATGGTAAATGTTGTTCAAAGCCAAGAAGCTCGTATTTCAGCTTAATAACTGATAGATTTCTTCCTCCACCTTTACCAGTCGCCCAAACAAGCTGTGGACTAACAATAACTGAGCGTTCAACAGATGGCTCTTCACATAAATTTCCATCTCTTTTTGTTGCTCAAAGTATAAAAGTGGATGAAATCCTTTCCCGCTCTTCAAATCCTTATCGCACAATCCCTTATGATTTGTATTGTCCGTCTGTTCAATCCGTGATCAGCGACAGGGTTTGTAAGAAGTGTCATTCATACTTCTCTTCATTGGTTATGCTGCGCAATCATTCTTTAACTCACAAACAGGAATCATCAATTGTGCCATTACAGCGCACCAGGCCTCTGAGAGTTGCTGCACGTCGCCAACGTGAACTGATGGTTATAATTGCCAATGAAATTAATGGTCAGAGTGTAGATTGGATAGTAGAGGAAGATCTTGATGTATAGGGAATTCCCATTCCATACAGGAAAAAAATCAATTCCGTCCCTGTGTATTCAATGAAGGAACATTTTAATTCTCCATGGGAGAATGAATTAGCTTAAATATCACAACTTTTAATTGAGGATTGCCATATTAATACCGTTATAAGTAGTTTTTTTTAAAAAAAAATACTTCTGTTAATGATCTTGCTAAGATTTAGAAATATGAATGTATGTGTATATATGTATATATATATATATATATATATATATATATATATATATATATATATATATATATATATATATATATATATATATATATATATATATGCTCGGTTAAGTATAACTTGTTACTGATATTATTATTTAATCGTTATTAATAAAATTTCTATACCACTTTGCTTAGATTTTGCATATTATACTCAATATATTGTTATTCTCACGTGTGTCGTCATGTCTGCAAGAAATACCTACATTTACATTAAGTATTTAAAAAAAAATTAATCTTATCAGCTTTAACATCACCTCACTGTATTATTGTTTACCTGCTGGTGCCACGAATGGGTCCTGCACGATCATTATTAATGCTGTGTCAACGAGGGGTAATTTTAAAGGGATGAAAACACAGCAAATTTAAAACATAGGATAAATTGTAAATTAGGGGTGGGGGGGGGGGTGGAGTGTGACGTCATTTTAGGGGGGTCTGACTTTTTGTGACGATGTGTGACGTAGGGGGGGAGGGGGTAAAAAATGGCCAAAAAAGCGTGACGTCATTTATGGACGACCCCAATGAACATTGAACCGTTTAATATGTTTTAACAATTTGCATGTATTTAATATTTTCTTTACGTTATGCGAAAGAGTAAAAACTGTAGCAACTATAAATAAATTTTAGTCTTTATATAAACAAACCCTACTCTATTACTTATAGTAAGACACTGCGATGCACTGTAAAGCACAGCGATGACGGACTGACACACTACCAGCCCGCTTATATTATAGATACTGATTCAGAAATAGAATTAAATAAGTAACAGTGGTATTGTGACAGTAAAAAAATTTTACAGACGGGTGCATAGGGGAGTTGTAACCCCCCCCCCCCCCTACACCACTGCCTTATGTCAAGTATAGAATTAGCTTACCTAGCATTACTCTGTAAGTGGACTTTTAAAATGGAGTGTAAAGTAAGTGGACTTTTAAAATGGAGTGTAAACACAGTGAAATGGGTGAAACGAACTTTCCCATACAAGTGTTGCGAGAATCTAGGCCACTCAGGGTGTGCAGTTGATTGGGATCACAGCACGTGGAAACAGCTGGGGCCATTTTTGAATTGTGAATAATTCGTTTAATATGTCAGCCATTGTGATTGAACTTAATCATCAAATGACGTAATCAATTTTTGCTAAGGTGTCTGGGTCAAGTTTTCTTCTGCACCCCGTGTCACGTGACACTTTGTCTTTCTCCCCGCCCTCTTTTTAATCAGTAGAATACGTCATGTGATTGACATGTGTGTAGTGAGTTACTGCACGTCATATACTGTATATAAAAAAAATCCTTCAAATAAAGCAGTCAAAAATGTGAGACCTACCTAGTGTGGAGACGATGACCTCCAGCTGACCCCGATGACCTCCAGATGACCTCCAGTTGACACCAACTGATCGTATCTCCAAGAAACAGATGTTTGAGCCAACAAACTTTGCTGCACAGTACGTAAATAAATAGCCTATCACATACGCCTACTAGACAATTACTGGCCTACAAAATTTAAAATCGGATTAGTAAGTTGTGGGTAGCGTCTGACGTCAGCTGTCAGAGGTTATGTATGGTGTGGTGGGGGGGGGTTAGTGGCGTAGCGAGGTCGGGTGTCACCCGATGCGGCACTTAATACCCTTCCTGGGGACAAACTTTCAATTTTCGATTTGCACCCCCCCCCCCTTCAAACTTTCAATTTGCACCTCTTAAAAGACTATTTAACACTCGAATTAATCACTTAATTAAGTAGAATTAACATTTTTCTCTATATATTTTGCTAATTTTTGCCTTGGTGTCACCCGGTGCTGTCCGCACCCCCCCCCGCTACGCCACTAGGGGGGGTGCTCTGAGGTCAGCTGTCAGAGGTTATGTATGTGGGGGGGTGTCCTTATGACAGCTAACATGCTCTACTTTAGTGGATGTTTTTTATGAAATTTATATAATTTATATAGAAAATATATACTTTTAACAGTGTCCGCCCCCCCCCCCCCGAAGAAAGTCTACCGCCCTCCCGAAAATTTCAAGCGCCCCCCCCCCCCCCCGGAGAAAAAAAAGTCTGGAAGAAACACTGCAATCGATGACGACCAAATCTGCCCAAGCAAACACTGAAGCACTTCCTTCCTATTTCTACAAGTGGTTTCTGTGGGATGTTTCCCCAGACACCTTGTGGGCACTCTAGTCCAGTTGTCCGTTTTCGTTACTTTGTGCAGAGTTCAGAATTGCACTGGAAAAAAAAACCACCATTGGGTTTTTTTTTTTCGTGTGCCACTTGTGGCAAACTTTAGACGCCCGGAATACACCCCCCCCCAACCCCCCCCCTTAGGTTCTAGTGTTATAAAACTGTCGTCTGCCGCCTGAGCACAAAGCCTAGTGATATACACACATTTGACAAGTTTAATGGTCGTGTTTGTTTGATTTTTGTTGAAAGTAAACATGAGTTTATGTTCACGCATACATTGTTGTAGGTGATT